CTAGGAAAGTCATTTTCTCACCAAAGGAAGTTCTTCTTACTTCCCTCTGCCAAATTAATCTTCACTGACAGTATTATCAACAACAAACTATTTCTCTTTTCTACTCCCAAGTTACAAAATAAAAACATTTTCCCTCTACATGGTCCCAAAAGTCCAGCCTACTCTTCCTTACTAAACTTTTATGACCCTCAGCTTGTTTAAACTTTCCTCTACTCTTCCTAACCTTTCCTTCTGTCTCATTCCCTCTTATCTCCTACTGTGAGAGGCATGGAGCCGAACAGAGGGGTGGACCCATTCCCAGCACACAGGCACACCTTGATCCCTGCCCTGGACACCTGCCCAAAGGGGCCATCTTTCAAGCTCTGGGCTCCTTAATCTCTGCTGAAGGCTGCCATAGCTCACAGTGATTCTGGTTTGGGCTTCTAAGTTGCTCCCATTATATTTCACACACAGCAACTTAATTTAACTAAGGCATTCCACTATGCAAAATACTCCTCTCACTGTGTCTTTGTAACTAAAAATAAAACAGCACTTCCTGCACAAGGTCCTTTGTCTGCTTGTATCACTCTGCTTTCCTGATGTATTTCCAGTTGCCACCCTCTCTTTTCAGTCAGTGAACCTCACTTAGACTCACCTTTATTTTATACTTCATCTCTCAACAACTAAAAGCATGGAAAAAACCTCTGTGGTATCTTTCATCCCTTAAAGGAACTTGAAATCAACCTTATCAAAGGAACTTTTTTCTGATTAGCATCAACAACAAATGAAACACTGATCTCAACATGCTGCCAACCTCAAGTCAGAGGCACTTCCTAATTACACGTGGACACATATGGCATTAAGACCTGCAACTTTAATGAGCACTTGTATACTTGTGACATTCCCAACTCTGTCTCACAGGTGTTCTAGAACCTATTTTCCAACTGTCTCCTCAATATTTTTGCCAACTCAGCCACATACACCTCAAGCTTAGTAAGCCCAAAATTGACTTTTATCATCTTAACCACCCCCTCTATGTGCTCCTTTTACCATCTCACTGTCTCAACAGATGTTTGCCAACATCCATCCATCCACTCAAACCAGAAACCTGTCTTTCAGACTCCTCCCTCTCTCTCCTGCCCTTCATTTAATCATTCAGATCCTCATTCCAGAAGTATGTACACAGCGTACACCATACACCAGGCAAGGAGCTAGGTCTTGGGCTACAAATGAAGAGAAGGGGCCCCTGGGCTGACAGAGTTGACAGTCTGACCTTCTGGGAGGCACCAAGTCTCAAAAACCTTAGAGTCTAACCAGCTCTCACATGTTTCCTGCCCTTCATACCCAATGTGGCTAAGCAGGGCAGGAGTGCCATCGCTCTGCTCCCACTTGACTCCCAGTAGCCTCCAGACTGAAGTTTGCTCCAGTCAGCTTTACTCCAGTGCAATCTGGGAAAATTCCAATCTTTCTCAAGCACACCTCTAATTTCAGGCCTTATTTAAAATGCTTCAAAGGCTCTCCCACACCCTAGAGGATGAACTACAAACTCCTCAGTATGGTATATGAGGCCTTCTGTGATCTGGTCCCAATAGACCACTAGAGCCACTCCCCTCACACAGTCTGTTTGCACTGATCTACTCGGGCAGAGACAGAGTGGGAATATGTGAGCACCTTCCACCGAATCCCACCAAATCTGCAGGTTTTCTCCCACCTTCAGACTTTTAAATATGACTGTCTCTCCAGACTCCCTAATTTCTATGTACCTTTCAACACTCAGCTCAAGAATCACCTCCTCTGTGAGGCCTGGAACCCAAAGTTTTCATAGCAGCCTACTTCTTTAATTCCTCTTTCCAACTCTTATAAACCTATATCACCACTGCTCACACAATTGGGTACACTGTGTATCACATACATGCTGTCATTGAAAGCAATGCTATCTGCTCTTCCGTGTCTCCCTGACATCTCAAACAGGGACTGACAAATACAAGCTGTTCAGTCCTTGTTTACTAAATGAGTGAAATTGCCTATGTGTCTCTTTCACTGACATGATTAACTGTTGCTTCCAATGAAACAAGTTCTTTTGTCTCTGAATGGGTCTCTAGTGGTCAAATCTTTTTTTAAGAGGTGGAATAATACTTGTTACAGAATTATACTTCAAAAACTATTAATTTTATTGTAAAAAATAGGCTATTGCCAACAAGTTTTCAAGACAGGTATAATTGTCCTATACTTGACAATGAAAATGTTTAGCATTAATTGACACACAAAAAACAAATACTAGATAGCAAGGAAGATGGGCATGAACTAAACACTTGTGAAGCACAGGATGATACAAAACCCCGTGTACGGCCTCATTTATTCCCACAACTTCCCAAAGCATTTTGCTCCAGACATGAGAACCCTTCTCCAACAATGGCAAGGCCTAACCTTTCAGCCACACTGTCAAACTGAGACAGACAAATTCCTGATGCCCATCCTTTCATTCATTCAATATCTATTGAAAACCTGGTCTACAGCACAACTCCAGGCACTGTTCTAGGTACAAGTTCCTGCTCTCATGGAGCTTACATTCTAGTAGGATAAGAGAAACAAATACGTGTACATGTCAGGTGATGATACGCACTAAGAAGAAACATAGCACAAGGGAAAGTGAACCTTCAAGTATGGCTGCCTCCAGTTTGCCATTCCTCACTTCTCCATGAAACATTCCTTAGTCTTTCAAGCAAGAATAGATTATTCAATTAGAAAATATTCAGTATTTCTGTAGGATCTATGTGCTAGGAACTAAACAAGATCCTAAAATAAAAAAGTAAATAAGTCATAGCTGCAAACAGCACCAAACCCACAGTCCAAAGAGGCAGATATGCTCATGTCACAACATTTTTATATAACAATAGGTGTCGGGTGCTACACTCAGTGCTTTACAAAAATTCACTTCACATTACAGCTCAGTGAGGCTGTACATAAATGAAACTGAAGCACAGAGAGGTAAAAGTAACACGCCTGGTCACACAGAGCCAGGGCTGGAGCAGTCTGTGGTCCTAAACANGCTTTCAGATTCTGCTTAAACTTGAAAATATCTGAAAGTGTATATGCTTTCAGATACTGCTTAATCTTGAAAATATCTGGAAGTGTATACGTTTACAGATACTGCTTAAACTTGAAAATACTTTAGCTTCAAAATAATAGGACCAAACATTCACTGTGGGATATCCCTTCAGTTGAATCCTACCAAAGTTATTAAAAATTACAGTAACTTAAAAGTTTTAAAAATACATTTGTTTAATTATTTAGAAGTAAAATGAAGCTATACATATAAGCAGTCCTTTATACATTTTCCTTATTCAAATAACTAAAATTAGGTTTTAGGAGACTTGCCTCCTAAAACTTGGTATTTCTAAGAACAAAATTAATTTTATGCCCTTTAACTCGTTGCTCTCCTTAACTGGGTGCTGATTCTGCTCTAAATCAGTGTTTTCCAAACTGTGGGTCATGACTACTAATAAACTATAAAATGAATGTTTTAAATAAAATATAAAATATCAAAATGAATGACACTTAGTAAAGGCAAGTACTATTCTGTGGTACTTTGGTACTAAAACAAAACTTTGTATTTAGTGGTGTGTTAAGAGCTGGCCCATGCCAACTCATGAGAGCTAATCTCATTAGAGTTAATCACACATATCTTTTCCCATCTCTGTACAAGAACACGACGGTTGGCTTAAAATGATCATGGAGGGAATACTTACACCATGGAAATCAGCAAATGCTATAAATCAGGGGCTATTTTCCCTGAAGAGCCAGTTTACCAAATACCACTGTTTCTTATAAATAAATATATGTGTGTGTGTCTAAAATGTGCATACTATATCTCAAGGTACAATGTATTTCTTACTATGGATTGAAATGGACAAAATCTGAAGCCTCTGCTCTCAACAAGCTTCTTTTCCAATTTACTTAACCCCAACTAATCACTGCCTTACTTTAAATCCACACTTACCTTTTGGTATTAATTTGGTTATAGAATAGCATAGATTACAGATTAATATTTCCAAAGCAGGCACAATTGATAATACCTAAGAACTGCATTTATAATTTTTTTAAAAAAGCAAAATACTCCACAAAAAAACATCTATACTACTAATATTGTTAGAAATAGGTATGTATATATGGATAGATAGCAGTCTAAGAAAATATTTTTTAAGTGTAAAGTTTGGTTTGAAAAGATAACAAAATTGAATAATTTTTTCTTCTATTAATTATATTATGGTCTACAGGGACAAAAAATTTTAGTAATTATATTAGTCAGCTGTTAAACTTGACTGTCAGCTCCTAAAACAGAACATAAAGCCTAGTCCACGCTTGAAGCTCTTCAAAATATCAATCTAGGAAAGATTAACATTTTAGAGGTCCCTTTTAATACTAATATTAATGTTGTTTTAATGTTTAACGTTAGTGTTGGTTATCAAAGTTGGTTATCCATTAAAAAATAGTAATTAAAATGTTCTTTCTCATTTCCCATATATGCAATTGAATTCAACTTATTTCAAATATTTAATATGCAACTATTAAGTAAAATTATCACAAAAAATTAATGTAATTATATAAAACATTAGCCACCAGTTTAAAGATGGCTAATAAGTCTCATGATGTTTGTTCCTACTCTGTTTTTTATTTCATAAATTAGATGTGAATTTCAAGCCTTTTACTGAATATTAGTTTGAAATGCACCCACATGCTTGGCATGTATTGTCTACAACAGATCCCAGCAGACTAAATTTTTTTGAAGGTTTGTTACAAGTACCTTATTAGATTTGTGATGTTCCCTGAAAAACGTTCTACCTTAAGACACTGAGGCCACAATCAGCACCTCAAAAACAGTGGCACCACTTAAAAAGTGATCTCCTGTGTGAAAATATAAATAAAGTGGGCTCCGTTGTGCCAGTGGTGTTAAAGAGGCACCATTGTATATAGGACCTACATTTTTTAAATGAAAACGTAAAGGAATAAAGACCACATACCTCTAGTTTTTCACTGAACTCCTCTGTATAGGGAATAAACCTGCTATCTGTGTCCCCTTTGTAAAACCAAGTACAGCGTCTCACTTCCGTTGGCTCCTCTTCCCAGTACACGGCTTTCCTCACTCGGTCATAGAGGTAAACATCGTAGCGCCCTCCATCCGTGCCTAGAACCACACTCTCAGGGTCTGGCTGGACTGGAGCAGAAAGTCCACATTTTAAGCCAAGAGTTACAAGGCATATTCAAAGTAACAAATAATGAATATGGTCACTAGTCAATCCTTAAAGACAAAGAAGCTCATTTTTGTTTAGAAATAGAAGTTTAAAATTCATGTGTGCTACTCAAAATAATGACTCTCCTTAAGTGAAAAAGAAATAGCCACAGCATAATTTCAAAACATGATCATAAAATAATTCAGTAACTGGTGGGTTTTTTTAAGTCAAAGCAGCAATGCTCCATGAAGTATGTTTCTGCAGGATATTAATAGGTGATTTTTCAGCCCCATGATGAAGTATCATCAGGGTATACAAACACGTTTCTATACTGCAAGCCTTCTCAAGCCTTACATGCTCCTGGACCCTCTACGTCTCGAGAGGTGGATGCAGTTAAACCGGTCCCAAAACTCATCTACCACAGAACAAAGCACTTTTTTTCAGAGTATCTCTGGGAACAAGAGTTCCACAGAAAAGCTTTATAAGTGCCCCATTTATAAATAATTATAAACAAATTAGGGAAATAGGAAAATTGATGCCAGGATTACATGAATTACTCTACACAAAAGAAAATTACTAAAACATTTTTTCGACCACCTTATTCAAATAAGGTGACTTACTTAGGACTTATATCAATAAAATCATCCTAAGGGACAGTGTCTGGTGGCGTCTATAAGGATTAAGGAGTTTGACATTCACAAAAAGCAGGCCAGGGATAAATACTCCTCATTTATTCCCTTCCTAAAACCAGATACAAATAATGCATGATCAGTGCTTACCTGAATTATAGATTTCTTCAAGATTCAAAGAGTCAAACACACTGAAAGGCATCCACAGTTGTTTGTATTCTACCTCCTTGCAGTAAAACCAGTGGGGTTGAACAGGTTCGTATTGGTTTTGAAGTAGAAAAGGAGGCGGCCCTTGCAGAGAAGGACCTGCAGGTCGAGCAAGTGCCTGCTGCTGTGTCGGAGGGGGCAACCCTGACTGCACTGGAGGAGGACCCTGGAGGGGACAAAAAAGTTTGGACTGTCATGTTTGTCCAAAGGAACAATGCTGTATATGCCTCAGACTCCAACAGCCATTAGTAATAATTTTCATATGTATATTTCTGGATAACTATTTAGTTTAATAACTAGATCCTAAAGCAATTATTTTTTTTTAATCTAGCAAAACCCCAAATCAGTCACAAAGTGAACCGGACTTTCTCAAACTGATGGCAAAGTAAAGTAACACTTTTACCACTTTTACAGAAATCAATCTAATAACATGTCTCCTGTAACTTATTTAATTTTTTAAATGTGCATAGCCTTGACCTAGCCATTTCATTTCTAAAAATTCATCCTATAGCTATGATTATACAAACAAGTAAAAATTGACCTACAAAGATGTGTACCAAAAGGTTATGTATTGTAGAAAATCACTGGACACTAAATGTCTAACAGAAACCTGATTAAATTATCTTTTACTCACATAGTGGAATTCTCTAGCCATTAAAAATGTTTTAGAAAAATAACCTTTTAACATCTAAAATATGTTCACAAAAATCACATATAATGATTATCCAGAAAAACTATGTTTGTTTTTATAGAAAAATAATGAGAAACATATAACAAAATGAAAAGAAGGGTTATCTAGGGGCAATTTTTATTTACTTGATTATTCTCCATTCTTCAACTTTTGTGCCCTGAAAATATTTTTAAAATCAGAATACAAGTATTTAAACATTTTTAAACTAAAAATCATTTTGGAATGTAGTATCAATGTTAAATTTACTGAGGTTGATAACCATACAGTGCTAATGTAAAAAGAATATCCTTATTCTTGGGAAGTACTGAAGTATTTAGGAGTAATATATTTAACTGACCTCCAAACGTTTCTCAAAAAAACTGCACATATACAGAGTGAGAAGGGAAAGCAGGGAAGAATGCTTAAACATGTGGAAGTGCACATACATACACAAACAATACAACAAATGGGGTAAAAAGTGTTAATGATAGATAAATCTGGGTTAAGAGTATTGGTGTGTTCCTTGCGCTACTTTTATTTTTTTAACTTTTCTTTAAATTTGAAATTATCACTTTTTGAGATAGAATCATAAATCTAGAAATCTTTTCAAATATTTAATCAGTGAACTAGTATATTCATTTGTACTACATGCTATAAATCTGGTTAGTTTTCAATATGCTGACATTCAACATTATCAAGAGTTTGGTATTGATACGATTTAAATTGAATAATAAAATGAAGCCCACTTTATCTCTAAGAAAGAAGTTAGGTTCCACTCTGTAATACAGCTATCTCCGCCATGCTGGGTTGAGTTCTGAATTCCTCTATTTAATCAATTCCCTTTTTTTAATTTAGTTGATTTCCCTTTGGAAGTCAGCTGAATAATTAGCTGGGAAAAAAAACATAAGGGAATTTCATAAAATTTACTCAGTGCAAATGTTATTCCATCACCCTCCGGAGATAGAGTTTGACTGCCTACATCCAAATTTCATAAATGTAAATAAATTATTGAAGTAATTAATTTTAGTTCCTGTAACTGAATGTTTTGATTGAATAGTATAAATAAAAAATGAGAAGCTGGCAGTCTGTTAATAATTGCTTTCACTCTCATATGTCCCTGATGACCTTATTATTGGTATTGTACACTAAAATCTGGAAATACTGGCATGTAGTTAACTAATTAAAATCAATTACTACTTCATAAATAGATATGATAAAACTAAAACATGAACCATTCCATGAGATACCTTTAAAACAATGTTTACTTCAAAGCATGTAGCTTACAAAGAATAGCCGCTGAAAATAATCTGTAATTATATTGATTATTAAAAAAGCACAGTTTTAAAAACATAGGATAAGATGAGAGAGAGAGATTACAAATTAGCATGAATACTTAGGATATAAAAACATGTCTCCATACTGGTGGCAGAGATCCTGGAGGCAGCTGGTACATCTGAACAGGGGGTCCGGAGGGTGGAGGATGGGTGGGGTGGCCTGGTGTTTGGCACTGCTGCAGCTGTGGTGGTGCAATATAAGGATTAGCCTTGCTGCTTTCAGGAGTATGGCGATAAGGATTGTATCCTTGCTGCGGTGTTCCTTGGGACAGGCTCCCAAAATCAGAAGGAGGGAGACTACTTGGCTGAGAAGGCAGGTAAGTATTTATTCCCATCTGTGAAGAGGATGAAGCACCATAGTGAGCCTTCGAAATGGATGGTGAAAATGCATTCAACACATCTTGGGATCCAGTTGTAAAAGCGAGAGCAGCTGGGGGCTTGGAAAATGCTGACTGTTCAGCAGAAGCTGCCGCAGTTGTTAACGGTGACTGTCCAATATTCCCAAAAGGATCACTACTGTTCGATACCTGAGAGAAGTAACTAAATGTCTGTGGGGTAGATGTGTGAGCAGAAGTCTGACCAAGAAAGCTGTCCTCCTCACCAACATCTGTGGAGTCCTCTGAAAGGAAACAGGAGAGCATTCTGTAATTCTGTAGATATGATTACACAGCAGATCTAGCAACTATACCTCCTATTGTACTGTTATATTTCGGCATTACAGAAAAAAATTTAAAAGCTTTTTTGTTTTTTCTTTGAAAACTTCGGTCTTTGACATAAAAATCTAGAAAATGAGAATAAGAAACAACAAAAAGAAGGAAAAGTTATACTTCATTCATAAGCCCACCTCCCAAAGACAATCACTGCTAACACTGTTCACATTTTGGTATATACTCTTCCTTACTTTTTAAATAAATACAAATCGTTATGTGTTACTTGGCTTGTAAATATATGTAAGTTACACATATTTGTACACAGAAGCTTAAAATAAAAGAAATAAAATCTAAACCTACTTTTTTCCATGTTATCGTGAATTATTTCTGTGTAATGACGGAAACTAAAGTTCACGTATTAACTCTATTGACAAGAAGGGGTGTGTCAGGACTCTTACCTACAAAGCACTCATTGTACAAATGAATATGTGGCATTTGTACTCCCAAGGCAAAGTAGGTCAACCACTAATTGCCATCCCTAAAATCACAGTGTCACAAACAGATAATTAATCATTAGAGAATGACAAATCGCTAGGAAAGTCATTTTCTCACCAAAGGAAGTTCTTCTTACTTCCCTCTGCCAAATTAATCTTCACTGACAGTATTATCAACAACAAACTATTTCTCTTTTCTACTCCCAAGTTACAAAATAAAAACATTTTCCCTCTACATGGTCCCAAAAGTCCAGCCTACTCTTCCTTACTAAACTTTTATGACCCTCAGCTTGTTTAAACTTTCCTCTACTCTTCCTAACCTTTCCTTCTGTCTCATTCCCTCTTATCTCCTACTGTGAGAGGCATGGAGCCGAACAGAGGGGTGGACCCATTCCCAGCACACAGGCACACCTTGATCCCTGCCCTGGACACCTGCCCAAAGGGGCCATCTTTCAAGCTCTGGGCTCCTTAATCTCTGCTGAAGGCTGCCATAGCTCACAGTGATTCTGGTTTGGGCTTCTAAGTTGCTCCCATTATATTTCACACACAGCAACTTAATTTAACTAAGGCATTCCACTATGCAAAATACTCCTCTCACTGTGTCTTTGTAACTAAAAATAAAACAGCACTTCCTGCACAAGGTCCTTTGTCTGCTTGTATCACTCTGCTTTCCTGATGTATTTCCAGTTGCCACCCTCTCTTTTCAGTCAGTGAACCTCACTTAGACTCACCTTTATTTTATACTTCATCTCTCAACAACTAAAAGCATGGAAAAAACCTCTGTGGTATCTTTCATCCCTTAAAGGAACTTGAAATCAACCTTATCAAAGGAACTTTTTTCTGATTAGCATCAACAACAAATGAAACACTGATCTCAACATGCTGCCAACCTCAAGTCAGAGGCACTTCCTAATTACACGTGGACACATATGGCATTAAGACCTGCAACTTTAATGAGCACTTGTATACTTGTGACATTCCCAACTCTGTCTCACAGGTGTTCTAGAACCTATTTTCCAACTGTCTCCTCAATATTTTTGCCAACTCAGCCACATACACCTCAAGCTTAGTAAGCCCAAAATTGACTTTTATCATCTTAACCACCCCCTCTATGTGCTCCTTTTACCATCTCACTGTCTCAACAGATGTTTGCCAACATCCATCCATCCACTCAAACCAGAAACCTGTCTTTCAGACTCCTCCCTCTCTCTCCTGCCCTTCATTTAATCATTCAGATCCTCATTCCAGAAGTATGTACACAGCGTACACCATACACCAGGCAAGGAGCTAGGTCTTGGGCTACAAATGAAGAGAAGGGGCCCCTGGGCTGACAGAGTTGACAGTCTGACCTTCTGGGAGGCACCAAGTCTCAAAAACCTTAGAGTCTAACCAGCTCTCACATGTTTCCTGCCCTTCATACCCAATGTGGCTAAGCAGGGCAGGAGTGCCATCGCTCTGCTCCCACTTGACTCCCAGTAGCCTCCAGACTGAAGTTTGCTCCAGTCAGCTTTACTCCAGTGCAATCTGGGAAAATTCCAATCTTTCTCAAGCACACCTCTAATTTCAGGCCTTATTTAAAATGCTTCAAAGGCTCTCCCACACCCTAGAGGATGAACTACAAACTCCTCAGTATGGTATATGAGGCCTTCTGTGATCTGGTCCCAATAGACCACTAGAGCCACTCCCCTCACACAGTCTGTTTGCACTGATCTACTCGGGCAGAGACAGAGTGGGAATATGTGAGCACCTTCCACCGAATCCCACCAAATCTGCAGGTTTTCTCCCACCTTCAGACTTTTAAATATGACTGTCTCTCCAGACTCCCTAATTTCTATGTACCTTTCAACACTCAGCTCAAGAATCACCTCCTCTGTGAGGCCTGGAACCCAAAGTTTTCATAGCAGCCTACTTCTTTAATTCCTCTTTCCAACTCTTATAAACCTATATCACCACTGCTCACACAATTGGGTACACTGTGTATCACATACATGCTGTCATTGAAAGCAATGCTATCTGCTCTTCCGTGTCTCCCTGACATCTCAAACAGGGACTGACAAATACAAGCTGTTCAGTCCTTGTTTACTAAATGAGTGAAATTGCCTATGTGTCTCTTTCACTGACATGATTAACTGTTGCTTCCAATGAAACAAGTTCTTTTGTCTCTGAATGGGTCTCTAGTGGTCAAATCTTTTTTTAAGAGGTGGAATAATACTTGTTACAGAATTATACTTCAAAAACTATTAATTTTATTGTAAAAAATAGGCTATTGCCAACAAGTTTTCAAGACAGGTATAATTGTCCTATACTTGACAATGAAAATGTTTAGCATTAATTGACACACAAAAAACAAATACTAGATAGCAAGGAAGATGGGCATGAACTAAACACTTGTGAAGCACAGGATGATACAAAACCCCGTGTACGGCCTCATTTATTCCCACAACTTCCCAAAGCATTTTGCTCCAGACATGAGAACCCTTCTCCAACAATGGCAAGGCCTAACCTTTCAGCCACACTGTCAAACTGAGACAGACAAATTCCTGATGCCCATCCTTTCATTCATTCAATATCTATTGAAAACCTGGTCTACAGCACAACTCCAGGCACTGTTCTAGGTACAAGTTCCTGCTCTCATGGAGCTTACATTCTAGTAGGATAAGAGAAACAAATACGTGTACATGTCAGGTGATGATACGCACTAAGAAGAAACATAGCACAAGGGAAAGTGAACCTTCAAGTATGGCTGCCTCCAGTTTGCCATTCCTCACTTCTCCATGAAACATTCCTTAGTCTTTCAAGCAAGAATAGATTATTCAATTAGAAAATATTCAGTATTTCTGTAGGATCTATGTGCTAGGAACTAAACAAGATCCTAAAATAAAAAAGTAAATAAGTCATAGCTGCAAACAGCACCAAACCCATAGTCCAAAGAGGCAGATATGCTCATGTCACAACATTTTTATATAACAATAGGTGTCGGGTGCTACACTCAGTGCTTTACAAAAATTCACTTCACATTACAGCTCAGTGAGGCTGTACATAAATGAAACTGAAGCACAGAGAGGTAAAAGTAACACGCCTGGTCACACAGAGCCAGGGCTGGAGCAGTCTGTGGTCCTAAACAGCACGCTCTGAGTTATGCCACATAAACCTTAAAAAGCAATCTCCCTGGATAATAATAAAGATATGAACAAAGAGCTAGAGTGCACAGAAGAGTGGGGACCTAAGAGGAAGTAATGCACTGTTTTGAAAGATGAGAACTGCACTTTGTACCTCCACTTTGCACCTGCACAAAAGGTGTTTTAACAAAAATTTGTGTAATACCAGTGCAGGAATGCTCAGCACTCGGAAGAGGGTTCCTTTGACTAAGAGCAAGCCTCATGACCTGGCCCCTGCACCCAAGATCCCAAAGCCCTGGGGCCTCTCAAACCTGGCAAGTGATGACCCAGGCAAGCTGCCCAGAGGGTCCTGTCGAGGCAGAAGGAAAACCTCTCCTCCGACGCTGGTCATCCCACGCTCCCTGCCCGCCTCCCCGCAATCACCCCCACGGTCCCCCTCCCCCGCCCTCCTCTTTACCTCCGGGCAGGAGCAAGGAGGCTGAGGCAGCGGTGGCTTGGGTGACTGGGATGAAGGGCACGTTGAAACTGAACTCCGTGGCCGAGGAAGAGAAGAGTAAATTAGTGCCAGACGAAGAGGTGGAAGCGGCGCCGCCGCCACCGTTAGGTTTCCTCTCGGCCATGGCTGCGGCCCACCGTCCGTTACACGTCTTCGGACAGCCGGTGCAGCACCACTGGCCGGAAACCGGTCACACGGGGGCCAACACACTTCCGCACTTGCGCACAAGGGCCGGAATTCGGGCGGCTGGCCAGCGGCTTCTCCCTTCCCCTGGGAGGCGCCGCCAGAAATACACATGGCGTCGTCGGCTTCACGCCCGAGCCCTAGCATGTGACATGCTCTGCCGCGGCGCGGGCGCGGCTGGAAGCAGACGCGAGGCTGGGGTTACTGCGTGAGGTACAGAGCGCTTCCAGTTACGAATCCAGGTACCAGCTGACACTGAAAGACATGGATTGCGGAGGGCTTCCCAAAAGTACCAGACGGACCCTTGAACTGGCAACGGTTCTGGCGGAAGAGCCGAAGTCCGCAGGAGGAGGTAGCAGAATGTTGCCCACCGTGGGCCATTTGTAGCCAAGGCGGAGCAACACTGCCCCACATCTAAACCTGCCCACGTGTCTTTCTGGACTGCGCTGAACTCTTGTCGTTGGCCCAGAAATTGAAATGGAAAACTTGAAATTTTTAAGCCATAGGTAGAAAAAAGTGTTTAAAAGAGAAACCAGGAAATTAATTAAGGGGTGTGATTTATTAAATAGTTTTAGTATGTCCATAATAATGAGTAGTTCAATCCAAAATGCACTACGGATGATTTGGATATAATTGTCATCTTTCACTTAGAGATTATTAAAGAAAAAAACAAATAATTAGCTTCTTGGAAGGTGGGAGAAGGAAATGGAAGAGATCCCAAAAGAAGCTTTGAAATGATGAAACATCCCTCACCCCAAGCTGTTCACACCTATATAGAACCTGCCTATATAGCATTTAGTGTGTTTACTGTCAAAGAAAAACAAAGCCAGACACTAGTTATACAGCAGTAAGGCTAGATCTTACCCAGTAAAAACTATTGCAGTAGGAAAGAGGGTACATAGTAAACTGAACTGAACCTCCCCAAAACAAAAGGCTGGAGACTTTTTAAAGACTGGGCTGTGCTAAAGGTGCCAAAGGGTGCTGGCCCATGTGATTGGGCCACCTAGGTTTGTTAATTGGCACATATCTGGAGGAGAAACAAACTTCTCGTATCTTTGTGACAGGAAGTGGCACAAGCTAGAGCAATGCACCCACCACAACTGGGAGGAGACTGCTCTCCGCGCCGGAAGAAGTAAGCTCTAGTAATACAGCTTTACATCTCAAAGGGGCGGAAAAGGGATTTATAATTGCAAGTTTTCAAAATACCTGCTCTGAAAGAAGGTTCAGAGTCTCCTATCACCAAGTTTTGGCTGAAACAAACAGTAAATCTTCCTGGCAGTGTTAAGCTTTCTCAGGTAGATATTTTAAGGGGGATTGGGGCTAGCCTAGGGACTTGGCCTTATCCTAGAACTTTGGTCTGGAAGAGTCTTTGTTAATACAAGGGGTGGGCAAGGCAGTATACTAAACATGAAGGTGCAGTGATGTGTAAGACACAAGATGCTTCCTTCTTGGAGTTTGGAGTCTGGTGAAGAAGACAGACAAGTAAACCCATAATAACAATAAACTAAAAAGTGTGATGAAAGTTGTAGAATTTCTCAAAATGTGTTACATGAAATACTGACACTCTCTGGGGAAGAAGGTATACAGGTCTATGGAGAAAGATAGCAAATATTTCAACCAATCAAACCATCAACAAGGGACCTACCCAGTCTGGAATGACATGAAACGCTTCCCCAAAGACAAAAAATATCAAAGTTGAGAACTGAAAGAGCGAATAAAAGTTAACTGGAAAAACTTGGGGGGAAAGTGCTGGAGGAAGTAGTAAGAGACAATTTCACTTAAGTTACAATATGTAGGGATACCCTGAGATGCCATGTTTGGGTGTTAAGAGAAAAGTAGTTGAGAGTATAGCTGGAGCCCAGTGAGGAACTAGCGAAGTTGGCAGATGAGAATGAAAAGTAGACCAAGGCCAGATTCAGGGTCTTACAAGGTAAGAGCAAAAGGGAGTCAAAGAAGAGTTTAAAGGATGGTGGAGAAATAACATTTGCTCTGGGAAGTCCACTCTGACATCAGAGTAATAAAAGAGATAATGAAAGAACAAGCCTGGAAGTAGAAAGAGCAGTTGGCAGGCTGCTGCAGTGGACCAGGAGAGCAAAGACGGCAGGTTAAATCAGAATGACTGCAGTAGCAGTGGGCAGAAAGAGGAATAACTTCTGGGAAAAGATGTCAGGTTGAACAAAGGTATCTTCATTTTCTTCCTTCTGAAACTGTTGAGAATAAAAATAGGTTTGTCTGGTTTTTAACCCCATAAGGATGAGGAGAATGGGAGAAGATTCAATAGCAACAAGATCTGGGAAGGCACCAAAAAAAAAAAAGGACCAGTAACAGATGAGTTAGCAAACTAGTAATGGGAAAAATCCCACATGCAACTTTATTTGTACCATAGACCCACCAAAAATTTTAGGACCTGATAACCTCAGGGTCCTCTGGAAGTCACAGTGAAGCTGGAGAGAAAGGTCCTATAATTAAGATTGGTTAAAACTGTTTAAGAAGCAGTTAGATCCCTTCCTCAACTCTGAGTAACTGAACCACTGTCCATCCACTTTCTGGGAAAAATTCTGTAAGTTTTTCCCTTCTGGAGTGGGTAAAGCAGAAGGAAAATTTAAAAAAATATGTACATACTGAATACTAAATCAATCTCTCCAACAACCTCAGTCCAATTTTTCCATTGAGCTCCAAGAACAGTAGCTGCCAGGTCCTCAATCTCTAGGAAGAAAATTAGAAGAATCTTCTTTGGGGCAGGGGAATGAAAGATGTATAGATACTGAAATCAGGGTTCCCCAATAAGACAGCTAAGCCAAATTGCCCCTAATGAAGTTCACAATCAGCGAGCCCCATGTATAGGCTCTGAACCTTTTAGTCACCTTTTAGTCCCCACACTTGTAATATGATCACCTCATACTTGAGATCATTTAAATCAAAGATAGAGACCAAAACAAGACACACATAGAAGGAACAGGAAATGGCAACTGAAAGAAACAGCCCACACAGGAAGAAAAACTCTTGAAAAAAATCTATCAATAATATCCTCAGAAGGATAAAAGAATCTGCAACTAAGAAACAAGATCAGGGTGCTATTTTAAAAAGAAAAGAAATATTCAGGTAACAAGAAAGTCAGTAGAAGGAAGATAAATATAAGGAAATTTCCCAAAAAGTAAACTTCCTCCACAGATACACACATGGAAAGAAGGAGAGATGTAAGAAAAGTAGAGTACAAGGCAAGGAACTCCAATATCTGAATACTAAAAGTTCTGCAAAGAATAGAGACAGAGAAAATGCAGAACTGGGAATCATTAAGAAAAACATTTCATTTCCACAAATGAAGAATGCAAGTTTCCAGACTGAAAGGGTTGGGTTCCCAGCCCAATAGTTGAAAATAGATACAAACTGGGCCACTGGAGACAAACAGAAGATCCTTAAAGTTTCCAGAAGGATAAAAATAGATCAAATGCAAAGGAACTCAGCTCATAATACTTACCTGTCGAGCACACTTTCCACAAAAGCAAATGGAAGAAGGCAAGGGGCTCCACCAAAATAAAGGAATAAGTTAAGAAAGTCATCCTGTGTGGGATACAGGAAACATGATGTCCAACACAGGTGAACAGGGGAATGCAAGCTGTTTAACAAAAAGACCCTAAAATGCAATGGCTCAAACAAAATACAAATTAATTTCTCACTCACGTAAGAACACACGTTGGTGTCCAGCCTTTCATCTTCAACATAGGGCTTCCAAGGTTGCTCTAGCTGTTGCCAGCAGGAAACATCAGGAAAGGGTCAGAGCAGTTCAGGCACAAATATCTTCTCTTAACAAGCGAGGCAAAAGTTGCACAAGGCATTTCTGTTCATATTTCACCAGTGAGAATTTCAACAGTAGGCACTCTGGGGGCAAAAGAGCTGGGAAATACAGGCCCCACCTGAGTAACCACATCCTAACTATAATTTTCTGACTATGGAGGAAGGTTTTGGGTGGGAAATGACAATCACCATCACAGTCGCCCTGCTGGCCACCAAACACCAACCTTTCTTCCCAAATATAGAACGCACTCCTTCACCAAGGGAGGCAACCAGCTGCATCCAGCTTGAAGGTCCAGGATCTCAGGCAGCTCAGCCCTTTCCATTGTGTCCAGATGTGGTTGCTCACAGGCTGTGACTATAAGACGCCCAATGGACAGTCATGAAGCAAAACAGAGTAACTGCAGTGGACATTCCCACTGGAAGAAAGGAGGAATGGAAAACACAACAATCAGTGTTCCATAGAATGATTGATGAGTGCCTATTTAGAAGGCCATAGAAATGATTGATAGATGAAATGCCTATCCTCCGAAGCAAAAATAGAAAATACTCCCTGCCCTGACAGTGGAGAACTTTTATAGTTTTTCTGGGTTACCTCTGGTTTGGCCCTCTGGAAATACCTCCCCAGGTCACATCCTCCACAACCCTAGCTTTGCCCTCTGGGAGGTTTTTCTTTGTTCATGACCAGCCATGGCCATATCTAAAGTGGCATTAGGAAGCCTGTCCTCTCTGTGGGCTGTATACAGCTTTGGTGATCCACTTCCTGCTTGTACGAGGTTGGGGCCTGAGACCTGCATTAAAGCCAGAACACTGGAAGGCTTTTTCAGGCCAGGCTCTTGGTATTTTAACTTTCACTCAGTTCCATGTTCTTCCGTGTCTGACCTGAGTTCAATTTTCTCTCAGCCTAATGGCAGTTAACTTCAAACCACCTGAAACAATGGGCTTGGGTGGGAAATCTGTGATCTGGCTTTTGCCACAGGGCTAGATCCTCTAGTTTATAAGCCTTACAGAACCGTTGAAAATGCTTTTGCAAATATTCTTACCTCGTCTGATTTGAATACCAAATTGATTGACTTTTTCCTATTTCTCCTATGCATCTACTCTGGTAGCACTGGCCTGTAGCTATTGAGCACTAGAATGTGGCTATCTGAACTGAGATATGCTTTAAGTGTAAAATACAGGATTTCAGAGTAATGCTAGGAGCTGTAACAGAGACCTCAGAATGCAATATTCATATAAAAATCCAGGATGCCTTTAACATAACTTCATCCTAGTCTTTACCATCCCATCTGTCAGAAAGGGGGAAAGAATATAACCATGGCCAAATCTTTTCTAAGAAATTGAGGTGGAAATTCCAGACATCTCGCTCATTCAGGATTCACTGGTAAGAACAGAGCCCTACCTAGCTGCAAAGATGGCTGGGAAACATATTCCCTAGCTGGCAACCAGGCTCAGCTATACCTCTATAGTATAGCTAGGAAATGCAATTCTTTCCTGGTCAACCTGTCTATAGCTATGGAAGAAGGAGGGAACAGAGTTTTTCAAAGTCAATGAAAAGATGAAAGAGGAAAAAAGAATCTTTAGGATACTGGTGGTAGGAGATCTAGGAAGACAGTTTTGCACCAGAAGTAGAGAGCAACAAGTCCAGATTGGAAAAGGTCAAAAGGCTCTGGAAAAGATATCCAAGAAAATGAAGTTTATAGAATAACTGATGGGTCTAAATACCTAGAGAGATTTAGGCACTTGATGGGAAGTTTGCACTATCCATTCAGTGACAATTTATTGGTTGAGCACCTATGGTATGCTAGGCACTGGTCTAGGTGCTAGGAAATAAAGCAGCATACAGATACCAAATCACTGCTTCAGAGATTTTAAAATCTAGTGGAAATGCTAGTGCAGTTGAGGTTGACTTAGTAGTAAATACTACTATAACATAGAAAACTAGCAAATATTTAAAAGAAGCATTTACTCCATCCTGGAGGCAACTACATTCAACTCTTTCACCTGAATTTTTTCAGTATTGCTGTATTTCTAAATGAACATGATCACATCACCACCTCTAACTTTTCCTTTTCTCCCCCTTTGCGTTCTGTGTTGACTTCCCAGATGAAAGATGAAGACTTCTCCTTTCGATCTTCTCTGTCCTTATTACATAAATGAATCTTTCTCACCCTTTTAGCCTTCCACAAAAGTTAAATTATAATGTTGGTTAGATCAACAAATTTTAACATTTTTGTGACTATGTAAACACTATTAATAGCCATGTCATATAATAAGGTGAGATTATTTTAATTTTTCTGTACAAGTTTTTGTCTTCCTAAACTAAACACACTTTTCCCTCACACTTTTCACCTAGCTCTTATTTATCTTTCAAGTCCTAGTGTAATGCCACATTTTCTTTACTGGCCTTAATAATCACTTGCAGACAGGGTTACTCAATACCCTCCTTAAAAATACTGACTTGAGGTTGGAGGGGGAGGGGGAGGTGCCATTACTGATGGTGGGGGGAAAAAATCTTGCTATAGAGATTGTACCCTCATGGACTCTCCCTGGGCCACTTACACTTTCATAACTACTTAGTAGTCATTTCAACATGTCATGCCACAGAAAAATTAGAGGGTGAAATTATTCACATTACAAAACAATCACATTTCAGAAGGATCAACTGTCTAAGCAAAACAAGTAATTGTTTATAACTCACTAAATACTGTACACAGGGAGGAATTAAAAGCTGAAGTGTGCCTAGCTACTGATGAATTGGTATCCAGCTGCAACTTCATATTAAGCAAACCTGAAATTATGATTTAAAAGCAGGCATTTTCAAGCCATACATTTAATTTGTGTACTACTGGGCACGAAGTTAAGATATGCGATTTCTCCATTCAGTGTTAAGGGGTTGGCAACAATCTCTGCTATGGATGAATGAATGAACAAAGTAGTGGTAATGTCCCGGATTTAAAATTCAGTTTTCTCAACTCACCCAAACTCACAAGAGACAGATGTCAAATCTAGGATGCCAATTAATTAGTTAACAATGAGAAATATAAATCACCCCCCTTTGCCCTACGGAAGGCTTAAGATATGAGTTCAGTTCTTGTTTTTCAGCTCCCCACTTTCTAGACTCCACTGATATCACCCTCCTTCTGTTAACAACACCTTATTTTCAGCAGATGAGACTAGGGTTTTCTCAGATGCATTCCAGACCTACAGGGAACACAGTTTCATTATTGAACTTGGATGTTTTCCAGAGTTGCTCATTAAAAGGTTACCATAGGTTTGACCTTGTGTGTATGTAGATGCCCACCATCTTTATTCTGAGGCTATCCTCAGACACACCTTCTGCAGGAACCTCTCCAAGGCTCCCTGGTTGTTTCCAGCTTCTTTGAAGGGGTGGACCAGAGTGTTTTCGCAGTTATGAGCTTGGCTCAAGTAGGAACTTGTCTCAACCGCAGTGTCTAAGATGACAGCAATGGGAGTGTGAAAATTGGTAAGAGGGAAGCCTCACAGAGGTAGAGTTGGGAGACTGCAGGAGGAGCTCCCAGGCCCTACCACTCCTGACCAATTGCATAACCTCCCCGCCACTTCCCTCATCCCTCCCTTGTCAACAGCACAACAAAGACAGCTTTCCACCCACACTACACTATTTTGGCTACTTTACCACCCAGTAAGAGGAAGGAAGAGTTTCTGCCTGCCCTGGCAACAGCCCAGCCAATGAAAGACTGTTATTACAACTCAGCCAATGAGCAGTCAAGATAGGTGAGTTTCCTCCAATGGACTTTTTGCTTAAAACAGTCCCCCAAAACTCCCCCTTTCTTCTATAAAAAGTCCTCTTCTGCTTTGTCCTCCAGACACGCTTGTGGTTTTACCATTGCATTCTTGTCGCATATTGCAATTCTTTGCTGTTCCTGAAAAAGCCCACTTTGCTTGTAAAAATAACTGACAGCTTTATTCTTAAGCTTGGAATCTTTCAAAGTCCCCCTTATCTGAATGTTTCCAGCTGAGGGGAAAGTCCCTACGTAGGGTTTCGGGCCACATACCAGAGAACAGTTGCCACCAGGAGATGGGCGTGCACCATAGGCTGCTTCACCCACTAATTTTGCCCAGAGATGACGCTGTGATTTCTTTGAGCTTGTGCTTTCAGGCTGCTGCGAACTCTGACGTATGCAAGGCCTCGCAGTGGGTAATCAATAAACCCGACTTCGGGAGTTTGCCCCTTCACACTAACACGGGGTGCCAAATGGCACCACGCCGCTCTGGCTCTCAGAGGCGGGCCTCCGCGCGTAAGCATCGCCGAGGTCGGACGTGCCGTTCTCTTTGCCCGTCTCCAAGATGGCGGCCGCCCCGCCGCCGCGTCGCGGCCACGCCCCACCCAGGCTGTCACCCCCGCCCCCGCGATCCGGCCCGCCCCTCCTCCCGCCCCTCGGGGCCGCGCAGCGCGCTCCCGGCGCCCCTCCCCGCGCGAGCTCCACCCAGGTCGCAGGCAGCGCGGTCGGCGGCGCCTATTTCCCGCCATTGTGCGAAGTAGAGGTTGGGGGCCCGCACGCGCCGCCCGCCAGTCGCCAGCAGTTCCTTGTCTGCCTCCGCTACAGCCGCCGTTCCCAGCGCGCGGGAGGCCGGGCGGCCCGCGCCCCAGGATCACCCTGCGTGGGAGGGCGCTCCCGGCGAGGAGCGGCCGAGCCCGCGAAGAGGACCCGCGGCGCGGGACGCCGGGCCGTGCCGGCCCCGGCCCTTCGGCGAGATGCCCTGTGGGGAGGATTGGCTCAGCCACCCGCTCGGGATCGTGCAGGGATTCTTCGGTGAGTGGCGGCGCTGGGCGCCGACCGCGCGGGCCGGCGAGTTTGCGGAGCCCGGGGCTCGGCCCCACGCGGGGCTACCTCGAGGGCTCGCGCCGCCGAGACGGCCAGGCGGGCCTGCTCAGCGGGCGCCGAGACACCCCGGCCCGGCCGCAGGTGCTTCCCACCTGCCCGACTCGGGATTCGCGAGCTCCCGAGGTTACGCTGCGGGAGGCGGCCGTGATTGCCGGCCTCGCTCCCTTGGGTGGCATCACTGGGGGCCCGAGCCCCGCATGCAGCCGTCCTCCGACCGGTCCTCGGACCTCCGGGAGGCCCCGCAGAGATGGGGTGAAGGAAAAGCACTTTGCCTGTGGGAAGCCTGCAGGATATTTCAAAACTTCCGGTGTGTCGGGGGAGTGCTCGCTCGCGGCAGAAGTTGGCTCTAACTACTGTATTACACGCATCCTTTCTTTTCAAGATAAGACTTGGTGTAAGAGCTTAATTTTTCTGTTAGCATGACTTTAAAACCTGCCCATCAACACATCTGCTCTTGTGCCAGAGCTAGCCAGAAATGTTAAACTGCTCAGATGAGTTCCTACACAGAAAGCTTGGAATGCTACAGGCACGCTTAGTACCTTTTACTTGTTACTGTTAATGCTGCTTTTGTGCTGGGGTATACGAAGGAAAATTTAGATTTGTTTGCAGTAAATTGGGCATTTTGAAACCCTCCCCCGCAATGTCTTTTTACACGTAGGTGTGGTTGGAGGCAAGTCCAACCAGAAATCACTGTAGATCGTAGCACCTGACTTGTCGGAAGGGAAGGTAGAGTTGTAGGGTGGGCTTAGCTCGTTTAAGACATCGTGGGACATTAAGTGAGAACGCCGAGTAAGAAGCTAAGTAGTCCCTAGCAGCCAAAACCACGGGCAGAAAATGTATATTATTTCTTGTAGGAGAGACTCACCGCACAACTCTTCATTCATTTTCCCTATAATTTGAACTAATTTAGTTACCTGGTTTCCCGAGCTGAAACTAGGAGGCAGCAAATCAGAAGACGGTCCGGGTAGGCATCAGGATTAAAGCCACTGAGCACTGACAACCTGATAAAGAAGAAATGAAAAGCGATGTATATATCTTCTAAAAAGGTGGGGGGGGGAAATCACTGTATATTCATCAAGGGTGCTTTAAGGAAGAGCATATATCCCTCCAATAAATCCATAACTGATGTCCAAAAATAATGGCCCCAAAATGTGGAGTGAAGGTTAAACCTGCACAGTTGGTTTGCAAGGGTGCAGATGCATAGATAGTTTTTAGAAAAATCCTTCAAAAGTAACAAGTTTTGTTGCTTATGTGGTGAAGCTCCAGTTACTGAAACTTAGAAAGTTCATGAGAAATACTCCATTACTGTAGTCTTGCTGTATAAGTGAGATAATTTTATTTTGATAAAGATTTGAATGTATTTGTATGACATTTTATGTGTGATCTTAAGGGCACATCTCATTAGTGCAGAGAAGGTATAATTTGGATATTAAACACTGACTTTACAGTATTTTGTAAATTTTATGAATTGTTGTGGGAAGACCTGGACCTTATTGATACACTCCTCTTAGAATGTCTTATTTCCCCATATAGGTTGTGTCTTATAGAAAAGAAACTAATACTGTCTTAACAGTCATGATTTTTGTAAAAGCGATCCTGAAAGATAAGTATATATTTTTGCTATATTTTCCTATCACTGTGAATATATTGAATACCTTTATAATAACAGCATTACCAGTAAGTTTGTGTGAGGAGTCAAGTCAGGTGTTAAACTTGTAAACAGTTTTTGGTTTAGTAGGAAGTTGTTTTAAAGTGATTTTTTTCCCCAGATAGAAAAGTAATGTATGTCTGTTGTGGTTTGTAAGGCCTTTGTTAGCTCTACCCGTCTACCTCTCAGACTCATCAGTACATTCGCCCTCATTTTTAACCCCGCCTTTAGGTTCTGCCCTGGCTGTTTACTTTGCTTGGTTCCTGCTTCCCGTTTCACTTCCACTTTCCTGGCTAACTCTTTCTCTTCCTTGGGAACCCCTAGCTCCCTGTTACTGAAGGTCCTGTGTGTCCTGGAAATGAGCATGTAAAGCATTGTTAAGATCACTGGTTTCTTAGGTTCCTTTCCTAGATTTTGTGAATTCAGAGCCTGCTGCCTTATTCACCAGTGTGCCCTCATTGTCTAGATTACACCTGTCCAATGAAAGTATTCAGTGAATGTTTGTTGAACAGAGGATCAGAAGTGGTGTCCATTGGGATGGTTACTACAAATCTCAAACTTAGGACAGCCCTAGTGGACCTTACATTGATTCAGAGAATTTGTGATCATACCAGGTATGAGTTATTTTCACATGCAAATTATAATTCTTTCTTCTTGGTTCAGATAAGAAACTTTGAAATTCTGTGAATGCTCAATCATAATTATATGAGTCATAATTCATCTCTGTGAATCAGTCTGTGTTTTGAATTTGTATCTGTCGTATTACAGTTGTTCACATGTTTTTTTCCCTGTAAGTGTTCATAAAGTGCCTTCAGTCTTTCAGTTCCAGTTTAAAAGATTTTATGTACAGGGCATTGAAGTCCAAAGGCTTAAATTAAGATTTAGAAATACTTCAGTTCAGCATATCTCTGTGGGGCTCCTGTTATGTGCATAAAGTAGTGGCTTAGTCCCCACAGTAATTGTTAATTTAGGGACACATATCAAATTGATGACCTTAAACAAAGGCAGGAATGTTAAGTTTAAAAAAGTTTTGTATGCTTCCTTTTTTTTAACTCATTTTTTATTTAAAAGAAATTTCCTTACTTGAACTGATAACTGTTAATTTCAGAATATGTGGGAATGCTTATCAACTCTAGTTTTCTTTCACTGTTTTCTCTTTTGATTATTGGTTGAGTCAAGATCATGAACATTCAAAGTACTTTGGTTGAATCTAACAACTAAAATAGACTAGCTCATGCAAAAAAGATCAGTAGTGTGGGAGGAGGGCAGGGAAGAGTACTTTATCACTAGCATTTTATAGAATTTAAAGCAATAATAAAATCAACTGAAAGTCTACTTTTCTGTTGTCACCATGATTCTAAACAGATAATTCACCCCCTTTTATCTGTACCCACTGTGTCTCACTCCTACCATCCAGCCCTTGGTAGGCACTAAAATAGAGGAATTTGTTGTAAGGCTACAGAACCCAAAGGCAGAGAGAGTGTCTGAGTATCCCAAGAGACTGCTGAGTAGAGTTGAACTGGAAAACTAGCGGGAATCCCAGCACATCTTCTCAGTTTTCAACCTTAGGCTATGTTCTCTGTACAAGAACTTTGTCTAACTCAACCACACAGCTCCCAAATCCCCTGTTCACAGTCCCAACCCACAGTAGTTAAAGCATCTTTTTCTTAATGCCAGATTCTCGGTTTAGAGCATCTGATTGGCCCAGCCTGGATTCAGGAGTACATTCATGTGCCAGTCAGCTCTGACCCGGGCACAGAGTTATGTGGGACACTGATGTCTGTTGAGGGCCACACCTCAGCAGTGGGGCAAGTTCTCAGAGAAGAATGGATTGGGCAGCTGTGGCTAAAGACATAAATGCATACATATGAATTTTAAATTTGTAAATAATTTGTAGGTTACAAAAAAACAACGTGATGGTATTAAATGAAGAGTAAAAGTGTGCTCTTACCCTGCTGGAGTAACCACTTTTAATTGTTTCTGCTTTTAGTTCTTTTTTCTTTGCAACTTTTCTCATTGAGATATAACTCACATAACATAAAATTCACCATCTTAAAATGTACAATTCACAATGGTGTGCAACTGTCAGCACTATCATTTCTGTCCCCCAAAAAGAAACCCTGTAACTGTTACAGTCACTCCTAATTCCCTATATCCTCTGGCACTCACTAATCTACTTCTGTTGATGACTTACCTATTCTGGACATGTCATGTAAATGGAATCATACAACATGTGGCCTTTTGTGTCTGGATTTTCACTTAGCATCGTATTTTCACGATTCATCCATGTATCAGCATTGCCTTCTTTTTATGACTGAAAATGCTATTCCATTGTATGGATAGTACCACATTTTGTTTATCTGTTCTTCACATGTGTAGACACTGGAAGGTTTTTGGCTATTGTGAATAGCGCTGCTACAAATACTTGTGTACATGTTGTGTGAATACATGTTTTCACATCTCTTGAGTTTATAGTTAAGAGTAGTATTGTTGGGTCATATGGTAATTTGATATTTAATTTTTTTGAGTAACTGTTGAATTGTTTTCCGAAGTGTCTGCAGCCAATAATGGATGAGGTTTCCAATTGCTTAGGTCCTCTACAACACTTATTATTTTCTGTTGTTTTATTGTAGCAGTCTTAATGGGTGTGAAGTGATATCTCAATTGTGATTTTGATTGCATTTCCCTAGTAACTAATGATAATAGCATCTTTTAATATGCATATTGGCCATTCGTATATCTTTTCTGGAGAAATGTCAATTCAAACCCTTTGCAAAATTTTTAATTTGGGTTTTGTCATTTTTTGTTGAGTTCTTTATTCTGTATACTAGACCCTTATTAGATATATGATTTGCAAATCTTTTTTCCCATTCTGTGGATTATCTTCTCACTTTCTTGATAATGTCTGAAAGCACAAGTGTTTGATTTTGATGAAGTCCAATTTATCTTTTTCCCTTGGTTGCTTTTGGTGCCATGTTTCAAAACCCACTGTGTAATGGGAGGTTACAAGGATTCACACCTATGTTCTTTCTAGGAGTTTTATAGTTTTAGCTCTTACATTTAGGTGTTTGATTCATTTTGAATTAATTTTTGTATAGGGTTTGAGATAGGGATCCAGGTTCATACTTTGCATGTGGCTATCTACTTGTCCTGCACCATTTGTTTTTAGTTTACTTTTTGCATTTACTAGTTTATTATAAAGGGTATTGTAAAGTATATAGGTGAATAGCTAGATAAAGAGGTACAGAGGGTGAAGTCCGCAAGAGTACCTCCTACAGAA